CCCCAAAACCCCAAAACCCCATAGCACAAAATATAGTTATTAAATTGAATTTGAGTAAAATTAATTTAATAAAATTTATATGATATCTCTTAAAATAATATATAAGAGTTAATGTCCTAAAAATCATTTGTTGAATCGTCTCAATAGTCATTTAAGACTGCCTTGATGTTTCCTCACTCACCCACTCTAGGAGGTATCACTCCTGATGACAACACTAAATGATCTTAAATTAGGCATCACTCAACAACTAAGATTTAAAAATTTAGGGCAAATAATGGAGTAGCTTAAGGATAATAGCGATTCTAAAATAATGAGGATTACAAAAGTGTTGACTCAAAAGATGAATTTATTCTTGAAAATATCCTTGACAAAAGTTTCATTAGTGACAACTAAAAGGCTGAATAGAGGAGTTGAATGATGAAATCTCAAACATTAGTAGATAAAACTCATCTCAGCAGCAAAATAAAAAGCAGTGAAATCTACTTCAACAGTATTTCAAAAATAAATAGATCAAAGAATCGAAAAACTATTATAGGTACATCTGAACCATTACATGATAGTTAAATTGATATATAGAGGAAGACCAGTTAGCCCAACTTGATTCTTGTACAAAATTTAATGGAAACTAACTATTATCAAATATCCTTCAGTGATGATTAAAAGAAAGAAACAAATACTCATGCTTTTAGTAGAAATAGCGTTACTTTTGAAGTAAGACGTCTGTGAAGAGCAAGTTGATGCATAATTTTCAATCTTTTGTGTCAGGTTTTCATAATTATTGGTATGCTAGTATGTATTCTATATATAAATTGGATGATTTATGAAGATGATAAATGTAGTTTGAAAAATACTGAATCTTCCACTCAGCAATTATTAGCAGGGTTTAATTTGCAATCTTCAAGAATCTTAATTGAGAATAATTTACATACCATTGACTAACTTATAGCAGATCCAATCTAGACTTCAATTAACTAGAAATTAAAGGAAAATATTAGAATAAATTAAAGGAAAGCAAGAGCATATATTCAAACTTTGTGGATTTAAACATATAACAGAGACTGTAATTCAATGACTGAAACGTAAGAATTTGTATTTTCACCAATTTTATTTGGTAGGTTTTTTTTCTATACTATCATGCAAAATTACAGTACTCTTTGTAATAAAAAGATTTAGTCAGCTGGAGAAAATATGGATTTCAACAAAAGGAGTTAGGATTTCATAAGTGATGAGGTTCAATATGCTGAATCAAAAAAAGCACCCCCTATTTTCAATAATTTTTAAGGCTTATGCTAAAGTTTTACAAATTTCTTGATTGCATCATCTGTCGTAATAATTTACAAGGATTTTTCATATTTAATTCAGGTTTTGATCTTAGGATCAATAGGAGTTATTGTTAATTTCTATGGTATAATTTGTGCACTATGTATTCTATGTAGAGTTAAAAATTACTACCTAACAGTCGTTGTAAGTAAAATTTATGTAATCACTTTCTATTAATTGCTAGATACCCCTTAATTTTTTTCTAAGATTAGTCTTTTATTCTTTATAGTTTCCATTTCATTTAAGTTGGATTATCTATATAATTGTGATATCAGTTTGGTCTGTTTTCTGCATACTTCTTAACGTTCTTTACCTTCCACTCTTAGATGTTGGATACTGGCTGTTCTTAGGACTCTCTGTTCTATCTATCTTCATGAGATTTCACTATAAAACTTACTATTATGAGCTAAGAAAGATAAGAAACTACATCAACTTTATGAAGGATTTGTGAGAAGACATATATATGAAAAATAATGTACCTGAATTTTTTAGAGAATTATCGAATATATTCAGATAACAGTTCCTAAGTTATAGCTAAAGCATTTATCATCAAATATTGAGCATATGTAATTAAAGTATAATTAATATAGCAGCTCTATATATATTATTATTTGAAATAACTTTTTAATTTTAAATTCTTCAAAGCAATCAACTTAAATATAAATAGCATCTTGGGGTTTTGGGGTTTTGGGGTTTTGGGG